TGATTTGGAGATGGGGGGGGGGAAAAGGGCAGCTGGGAGATGTTAGGCTGGAATAACTCAGTAGAGCTGCATTTACAGCCAGATTTCAGCCCGCTGGCACCGCAGCCTGTGCTGGAAGAGGACGATTCAGCTCGGAAGCTTCCAGGTGCACGAGCCCCAAGTTCCCAGGAAGGATCCAACCCCATCCAGCTCCCCTGTGACTCACCAAGGCAGCCTGCAGGGTGCCCTGCCCGGATTTAGGGGAAACCAACCTCACCAGATGCCCCAAATTCCCATCCCTGTGAAGCCACAGCAGGTTCCAGGCCCTGGCACAGCCAGCCCAGGGCAGTGGTGGTGTCACCACCCCTGCAAGTGTCACCACCCCACGGATGTGGCACCGGGGGGACGCGGCCAGTGGTGGGTTAACAGTGATCTCAGAGGGCTTCTCCAGCCTTAATATTTGATTTTAAGCCTTAATATCCATGATTTATCTCGGGGAGCTGCTCTGGGAGCCGCTGCTTGTGCTCTCAGCTGGCACTGACCCTGCCCTGAGCGTTCATCATTAGCTCAGGAGAGCAAGAGGGACAAAGTACAGAAAGAACTTGTCCCCCCATGAGGTGGTTTTTTTCCCATGTTTTATGACTTCCCACGGGCTGGGGCCTCACCCACCCGACCGAGCTGCCTGTGGGACCCACCAACAAAAAAAAAACCAGCCCAGAGCAAACGAAAATCAAGCCTGGAGCGAGCAAAGGCGCTTCAGTTTTAGCTGCAGACGGGAGCAGCACGCAAGAGCCGTCTCCCTCTCCCACATTTTCACTTCTTATCACCAGGAGTTATTGCTCCAAGCTAGTGCTTCCAGTGGAAACTCCACCTTTAGCTTGGCCAACACGATCCCCAGGCTGATAGCCCCGTTGTTCTGCCTCCCAGGAACCACCACAGCTAATTGCAGGGACGGGGCAGAGGGGAAAACTCTGCTCCAAAGAAGCCAGAGCAGCAATTATTTCCACAGATGGCCCCCCCCTGTGACATTTGGGGGTCACCAGAGCCCTTCCCAGATCTCCACCGTCCCCTCCTCTGGCTCTCCAAATCGTCTGTGCCTTCCTTTGTTTCCCAGTTCCAAGGTAGGGGCACCCCAAGGAGTCCTTCCCTCTCCTATTCCAACAAATTCAGGAAAGGCCCAACAGAAAGGAGCTGTCCCTACATGTGGGAAATACCACACTCCTTCAAGAGCTTCTCCCTTATTTCGAAATATTTGCAAACAGGTTCTCTTCCAGAGAGGAAACCGCACAACCCCCAGCCACCTGAACACTGAAAACACCTCATTTATCACCTCAAGCCCACCCTGGGCTTTTTGCTAGAGATGGGAGGGGGAAAAGCTCCAGCTGATTAAGCTGCAAAATCCTATAAAGTCCCCCTGGAAAGAGCAACCTGAAGGGGTGCCCCCAGATCTGGGAGAGGAACTGAGCAGAAGAATTTAAACCCTGCCTAAAAGCACATTTGTTAAGCCAGGCCAGGCTCTCCAGCAGCACCAGGGGGAGGTTTAGGTTGGATTTTAGGGAAAGGTTTTTCCCCCCAGAGGGTGGTTGGGCACTGAAAAGGCTCCCCAGGGCAGTGGGCACAGCCAAGAGCTCCGGGAGGGTTTGGAAAACACCTGGTGGGATTTTGGGGGTCAGAGCTGGACTGGATGATCCTCCTGGTTCCCCCTCTCAACTGGGGATATTCCAGCTCCTCTCTCTGCAAGGAACCAGCCCCAAACTCTTGGGAGGGGGTGGGGGGAAGAGTCCAGGATTCAAGGTCTTGGGATTCAGGGAGTCCTCCTGGACGTGGGAAAGATCAACGGCAGGCTCAGAGATCAGCCCTGCCGATCTGCCCCAGTGGCCTTTGGCACAATAAACTCATTTACCGAGATCCCAGGTGATAGAGGGACCACATTCCCAGAAACAGAGCCCTGATGGCTTTTGGCTGACCCAGCCTGGATTGTGATTGTTCATTTCCTTCAGGATTGTCTGAGCTACTCCCAAACCCACCTCATCAAAGAGGACAAATCACTTTATTTTATAAAAAAGTCCCTTTGCATCCACTTGGCTGCTGTTTTTTTTTTTTTTCCACTCAGTTATTTCTTAGTTAGTCGGGAGGCTTTTTATTTATGAGGGTGGGGAAACCCTGACAGGGAGAAAGCTGCAGTTGGGGCAGCAGGAAGAGACGGAGAGAGGTTGATTGGTGATGGATTAGTCACCCTAAACCAACACCACAGACACACAAGCCTTGACCAGCCCCTTGTTGCAAGCCCTAGATAAAAGCCAGGAGGCTTCCCCACCAACAGATTTCCCAGGAATTTGGCACCGCAGCAGACAAGAAGTGGCATTGCCAGAACCTTCCTGAGATTTTTTAAAAAAATAATAAAATAAAATAAAATAAAATAAAATCAGCTCCCAAAATCCGGCACGACAGGACTGAAAAGTCTCACCGCTGGGTTCGAGTGGGAAGCACGGGAGGTGCCAGATTTTGGGCAAGACTGGACCCAAAAATCAGTGTATCCAGGAACCCACTTTTACAGAAGAGACAGAGCAGGAGCCTCACAGTGGGATATTTCCAATTTAGGGGGAAAAAAAAAAACCCCTCAAGTCGTGTCATCTCTAAGGTTATCCCAGAGCCAGGAGTGAAGATCCCCAGGGATCAGATGAACTCTCAGCTCCTCAGAGACAACCCCTGCCTTGGGCACGAGCTCTGGGAGCTCTGCCTGCTGCAGTGACATCCTCACATTCCCTCCTTGCTTTCTGCCTCCCACCTGTCCCCCCCCAAGCCCAGCACACCACCTCCCTCCTGCCCCAGCTTTCCCGACAAATTCCAGTCTCCTTAAGAGCCACCAGCAGCGATTTTCCAGCAGATCTTTATCAGCTGATTAAAGGACAACTAGAAATGCAAGCAGCCAGGGATTAAGAGAGAGCCCCGAGCCAGAAGGAGGGGGAAATAAAAAAAAAAAGAGCAAGGAGAAAAAAAAACAGAAGTCAGACCAAACCAAGAGGACACCCCCTGTGTGTCACCTCTCACCAGGAAGATAAAACAAACCCATTAAACCTTCCCATTAATTGCTGGCTTCCCCTGGAAGCTTTGGGGCAGAACCACAGCCTGTTGCTGCAGATCAGGGACCCCCAAAGAAGGGTCAGACACTCCCCCCCTCCAAGCTGAGCCCTGCTGAGCATCCCTGGGCTGCTCTCCTGGGGCAGGAGGGGCAATTCCCTGTCCCAGGAGCGTGCCAAGGAGGAGCTGGCTGCCAGGTCTCTGCTTCTCCCACCTGTCTGGACAAGCTGACAGGTAAATGGAGAGCTGAGCCCAGGCAGGGGCACGTGACAGCGAGGCAGAGCCGTGCCCTGCCCTGTTCCTTCCCTGGCAA